TTTTTAAAAAATTGAAAATTGATGGGTCGCGTGCAGAGTGGCAGGAGGTGTTCTACAATACACCCAGGGTTATTCTGCGCCTTGTGCTCACCAAGTCTTTCAGGCTTCCAGTATCAGCAAATATCAGACCTGTCTGGGGTGGTAGCTGTATTGACTTGATATAGCGGTAAACCACCGAAAGTCATTTATATAGGTCCCATCTGATATCAGTTATTTGTATAATGCTACAAATACACCCACGACCGACTTTCTATTAACCTCGGCATTGATTGAACAATTCTTTCTACTTCTGTTTAGCAAACACCAGGTGTTATTTTATTTCTTTATTTATGCACAAGCTGACGTTTCGGCGGATTTTACCTTCCTCAGAGCCTGGAAAGGTCAAGTTCACTGCAATCTACACGGCCGAACGCCTCCATAACCAACCAGAGAAAATGCTGAACCAAAATTTCAATCACAATGAACACAGAAAAGCTTCTTAGAACATTCACCGCTTTCTATGAGTCTTCTACTAAATATGTCACGTGGAGACCAACCGCACAGAGTTCACATGGAATCATAATGTGCCCATCTCACCAGAATAACAGGCTTATATACTGCCCAATATCACGCGTGATAATGAGGCATTCCTCCCTGCGGTTCATTTTCGGATTCTTGGAATTGGTCCAGAATACCTCTAGAGTTTTGCACGCTTGTGTTCTCGATTCTTGCGCGATGATCGTAACCCTTACTTCAAAATCTTCTCCGTTATCTCTCTGCGTCCTATGCGTGTCTAGTGGAGTATTCGGCCTACGTTTGCCGACTAGGTGTTCTTTTATACGTACGCAGAGTGGTCTACCCGTTTCGCCGACGTATTCGTCCCCGCAAACTTTACAAGAGATCAGATAGATTGTACCTGTACTCATGCAGTCACCGTCTCTACCATTGGGGCAAATTGGCAATTTTGCGCTGCACATAGACGTCGTATAGGCGGTTACGAACTGGCTAGCGCCTTAGATTACTCGGTGGCATTTCAGTTATCGCTACCGAATTCTTTAGACCAGTCGTTCTTAAAGAGCGTTTCATAGCCGAACTTACTTCATTTGGAATGAAGAGCAGGATAAACGGGACCTCATTGTCACTAAAGTTATCTTTGGGGGCACTTGGTTTTTTCTACACCTATCCCGAGCTACAGTTTCGTAGCCTTTAAGAATGGCTATTTGTCGCGCCAAGTTTCGGGACTCCTCTCTCTGCTCCTTTCCTGTGCACACGCTGGTAGCTGTTCGAAGCATGTAGTACAAATACGGTCCTTCATATGTTAAACCGATCCTGGGAACTATTACAAGATGTACCAGCAAAATACTTTCGACTTGTGAAGGAAGCATTGCCACTAAGACAGAAGATTGTCTTAGCTAGATAGTAAATCAACTTTCTCCGCCGCTGTTTTCAACATCGAGTCGTGCCGAAGTTTATAAAACGAGGGCGACTTCACGAGATATGCGGTCAACCAGAGGGCAGCCAACAAGTACGAGGCATCGAAATGGAACTACTTCGAGCTGCACTACGAAGCAAGCAGAACGAGATGTTTGCCAGAATGAAGAAGTGTGCAACGAAGGAACATTTTTGTGATTTGGAGGATCGCCTTTGGGGGAGGATAGTTGGTGGGTCAATATTGATATGCGATTTTATTAGATCTAATGCCACAATAACCCTACAACGAAAATTCGAAAATCTTTTGGGTAATTCACATGCCTCAGCTTCAAGAAACAACCGCAAACGAATTCCTTACGCTTCTGGTAATAGTCAAAATAAGGTTGATAATGCACCGAGAAAATAGAGGGTCACCGTGATTGGGGGCATAACAATACCTGAGAATGCTCGCTCGCCATTAGAATTGGGCCCAAGTTTTGCACCATCACAGACTAAAACGACCCTGCGTAGGATAGCATGCAACCTTTATGAGCTTCAAGATCGACTCCGCCATCAGGCCAAGCAAGAAACATCAAATAGAGATAAAAATCAAGAAGCGGCGACACTACCACCATCTCCTTTCTCAAAAACGTTCTTTAGACAGCAGGACCCTAACGATGGAGTTGACATAAAATTCCGCGCGTTTTCGGACGGCGTTCTCAAGACCCTTGATCACTACCGCGATAGAAAGTTTATCTCTAACCTTACAGCCGCACAAAAATGTGGCATGCGGGAAATTAGAGAATTAATAAACTCGAAAACAATAAGATTGTCTGTTAGTAATAAGAGGGGAGAGTTCGTAGTTATTCCTCGCCAGCTGGATGTTGAGATAACAGAGGAACATCTTAGTGATGCTATCGCCCATCCTCTGGAAAGGAATATAAAAGTCAACACCGAAAGCTAAACAATCAATGGGTCAGTGTGGCAAAGGCTGCGGGTTTAAAATCATCAATTATTTCGCACTTTAAAATCGATAGACCAACATGTCCCGTCCTATACCTACTTATTAAAACACATAAGTTGGTATCACCTGATGATCATGCGTCAACCAGTCCGTCATCATTTAAGGTTAGACCGATCATCAGCTGTGTAGACGGGCCAACGGATAGAATAACCTGGTTTTTAAGCCTGATACTTACCCAGTTGGTTAACAACATTCCAGCTCACCTCACAAACACCCAAATGTTCCTAGAACGTCTACGCAACGCGTCTCCTAATAACGCGTACGTGATGGAGTGTTTCGACGTTACCGCACTGTACACCAACGTGTCGAATGACTCATGCAATGCAGGCCATTTTCGAACTTCTTGTTGAACATGAAGGAAGAATAAATATGCATGGCTGGTCCATCAAGCAGCTAATGGTTCTCTTAAAGGAGTCCCTAAACTGCTCGATTTTCAGATGGTCTGAGAAATATTTCGTGCAAATAAGGGGGCTGGCAATGGGACAGCGATTGGCACCAAGCCTTGCCATTGTGTATATGTCTAAGATAGAAGCCCCTGTTCTCGATCTCTGGCCACTACTCTACTGCAGATATGTAGATGATTGTTTTGTCATCTTCTCTACGCAGGAGGAGATGGACAAATGCTTTGAATTATTGAACGAGCAGTCCGAGTACATAAAGTTCACCTGCGAGAAACCAAGAAAAAACTGGCTTCCGTCTTTGAACGTTCAAATAAACCTATCAAGCAACCGTGCTTAAGAAGGAATCGGTAGCGATAGTTGAAATACCACCGGCTACTCTACGCCGTCAATTAGTTCGTAACTGCCTGTATGACCGTCTGTGTGAAACCACAAATTGCGGAATTTGCCCTTACGGCAGGGACGGTGATTGCATGAGTTCAGGTACGATATACCTGATCTCTTGTAATAATTGCGGAGATGAATATATTGGCGAAACGGGCAGACCTTTGTGTATCCGTATAAAAAAACACCTAGATGGCAAACGAAAACTAAGACGATGCACCCCATTAGGCACGCATAGGATACAAAAGCATAGCGGAGACGATTTTGAAGTAAAAGTCAATATCCGTGAACAGAAGACTAAAACACCAGGACGAAAACTTTTTGAGGCCTTTTGGATAAATGCCAAAAACCCTACAATGAATAGCAGAGACGAATGCCCGAAGGTCATACGCGACCTGACCCTGTATGTTCGCATCAATTTCTGATGTGGATTGGTGCAGTCATCAACCATATGCGACTATAATCAGCTGTTCTAATCTTCCTCATTGGAAGTCACGAAAAGGCGGTGAGTTTTTTCGTAAAGTTGTTGATCATGTAATTACCAAAGAGTTTTTCGTCTTTTTGTAAGTGTTATTGAAGCGTTTGGCCTAGTAGATTGTATATCAGTATACCCTTCCAGGCTCTGAAGAAGGCGATACTGCCGAAACGTCAGCTAGCGTTGTATTGTATTGTGTTTTTATGGAAGTAAATGTATGCTGTTTAAAAACCTCGCGATTGCTGAACAAGAAAACGACACATTCATATTCCAATGCCGAGGTTAAGAGAAAGTCGATCCTGGGAACTATTCTTATCTCCCTCTTTTTAGCTTCCCTCAGTATAACGAAAAGTACAGATGAAGACGATGTGAAGACTATAAATAAGACGTTTGTAAGAGAATCTTTCGCAAATTATGTCCCGTTATGCGCTTCATAATTTCGACTTGGTTGTCTCACATTTTAAGTAAGAATTCTAGTTTTTGCATAGAATGAAATTCAAGTAATTAAACGGCACTGTATTAAATGGTGATAGAACCCGACCATGTACAAGGTATGAACTTCCCTTTTCAAGAGAATAATTTAGAAAAAAAGCAATTTATACCGACTTTATCTTACATCTAATCACTTCAGTATATGTGTATTTATGTTCTTATAAGCTGCTCTCTTTTAGCCGACGCGTCGTTGGTATAGATGTTCTTATTGTTGCTGTTGTCTTTGTCCCATGGCTGACGTTTCGCCGACTTCGCCTTCCTTAGAACCACTGCCGCTGGATCACCAGTGTCACGAGGGATGAACATGTTCCAGGGACCAAACACGCTTCGGCTAAAAGAGGCCAGTTCGTAAGAACATATATACGGATATATAGATCATTATCCCGACGTTTATGGAAAGTCGATCTTCTGAGTTTCTAATCAGGTATAGCAAGGAAATACCTCATTTCGTTTAATATCACCGGATTTTTTGTCTCCTTTAGTCTGAGTGTCATTCCAGTGCAAACGTTTTTCCTCGTCTTGTTCTTTCAATCATTCTTTCATTCTTTCTCATTGTTCCTTCATTCACAATGACTGCTATGTTTGTTAGGACATGTGAAAGCAATGCAAAATGAATATTTATAGCATTAAAAGAAATACGACAGTTTTGTTGTATAGCATGTCGCCATGAAGTCGTACTGGGTGGTCAGCATATTCTGGAATTGTTCATATAAACCATGTAATTCACAACCTTTTACTGAAAACACTTCATCAAGAAAAAGTGAAAGAATACAAGGTATGCTTTTATTTCCCGTATAATCAGCTAAATTACTCTCACCTAATCGACGTACGTACTTGCTTACTTGAACGGATTGGTTTTTCCTTGTTTTTGGAGCTGAAAAGAAAGAAACGATGAACGGGAGAAGGCACAAAGTCTTCTCCTTCATATTTTCTGGAATGGAATCAAAATAAACAACAATCTGATTAAAATAATTTCAAATTAGGTTTTTTCTCTAAAATCTTCAGCGGTATACATCTTTATTCACTAGAGTATCGATTTTTGTTTTGACCTGCACTGCTGTCGATTTTGATTTGACCTATCCCATAAATGGACCATGTCAACATTTTGCTACTGAAGTGTTTTTTTCGAAGGGAAAGGGATCCTTACGTAATAACAAAAATAGTACATATGCATGGGAATTTATTGAACTTACTATGCGTCCAAGTGAAAGCAGTGTCACACAAACCGAAAACAGATCACGAGCCTCAAAGAGATCAACGGTTTGGAACGTCTCCTCAGTGGGAACGCCGAGCTAAAATACGGAAATCGATTCTGGATCTTGAGAAATTTCAGAACTAAACGTTTCGGAATAAGGAACGCGGTCTAGAGCCTCTCAAGTCAAACATTTGATATGGAATAACCACTGAAGAATTAATCGTTCTAAACGTAAAAGCCCAACGGTTTACCGCCTTCACCGTGGCTGGGAGGTGTTCCTGGGTATCGGACTGTGATGTACAGCGGGAAGGATTAGTACCCAGCAGGGTCTCCTTAGTTGAGAAGGAGTCCGGCATTTCAATCAGGAAGCCTAGCTAAGAGTTAACCAATACCAGGGTCCACCACCGTCCTGATATCAAAGTCGCATGGTGGCAAATCTCCTTCTGATCCACAAAGGTTACGAATGCTCGTGGTGGTGAAGACCTGGGGCAGACTTTGGCCAGGTTGACCTCAGGATTCCGGGGTACCACAATGTCTTACCCAGCAAATCTCCGAAAAATGGTGATTATGCTGAGGCCCTAACAACCAGTGAAGATGGCCCGCTCAAGTATCAAGTAAGTAAGTAAACGTAAAAGTCTTGCCCATAAGGCTTTGGTAAACTAAGGGAATCTAGGAGAGAAATTCGTCAGTGTAAAGTATGACTTCTCTTCTGTTGATGAACTATTCTTTTTTGTCATTTTTTTAATTATATCCATCAATACATGCTTGAACCTAACGGTAGTACATAGGAGGTGAAGCAGCAAATATCTCCAACAATGCCAGTGTTCTCTGAAATCATGAAAAGCTGTTTTTTTTCATTGGCTGACAAGGTTACACTATGTTTTCAGGTCAGGTTAAAGGTACTATTTTAATCCTTTTATTTAAAATCGGATATACTGCAGGTAACAGTAGCTTAACGAACGTGGTAGCAAATTTGTTAGAGGTGTCCTACAATATAGCTGTGGTTGCGTGTTTGATCCCCAACCTGGGTAAATCAAGCCCTTCTGGAATGGAAAGTCCATGAAAAGCTAGTTTGTCTGGAAGGATAAAAAGCATTGACTTGTTCCACCGCTAGAACCCTGTAAGGCATTGTATGGCCCATGTATGGATTCGCCCAACTAAACGATGCTACGAATGGTGTTGAATGCATGGGGCATCCACAAAGGAGTGCTCAAAACCGATCGCATTGTCATTTTAACCACACCAACTTCTGATGGACAAGAAAGCTGTCATACAACCACTTTAGTTCAGTAACTTCTTAAAAGAAGTTTCTATTTAGCAAAATTTTGCTACTGATAGATGTTTTAGGGAAATTATATAGATGGTCGCTTGCCTTCTTGGGCGTCAAAGTTCTTTAGTTTCAAACAAACGTCGTAAAATGACGCATTCCTATAATACGTGTTGTATCAGGAAGAGGTTAATAAGCAGTTTGAAGCAACGAAGATTTATGGATTGTTTGGCTCGATCTAGTTTAAACCTTTTTTCTAAATGTTTTACTTTTTATTTTCTGCCTTCTATAATTTAATGGCAGGGTATTAAGCGAAATACACCTGTGGTCCGGAGCTTTGCAAATATCTCAGCAAACTTGTAGTTCTGCCATGCCGCTTAATACAGTGCCATTAAATTATAGAAGACAGAAAATAAAAAGTAAAACATTGTAAATTCAACAACAGCCTCAGCTTAAAGGGGTTCAATGCCGATGTGGGCTCCCCAGATCAATCCCGTTGACGGGTGATTGCTGAAGGCACAGATCGAAAGAATTAGCTGAGAGAGAGGCGAAGCGAAGGACCCACATAGTGTGGTGGTGAACGCGTTTACCTCAGCAAACTTTTGGTTGTATTTCGCTTTTATCTAAAATTCCTTCGCCTTCCTCTCACCCAATAATCAAATCTGCTTGCGATGACACATATCGTTGGCCTAGAACCGCCTTTCCGCTCGAGTTTTTTCATTATAAAAAGCAATGAAAAGGAAAATATGACCGGATACCAACAAAAAGACTCTGATACATCAATAGATTCATAGTGCTTTGAGTTCTTCCTACCTTTTTAGCCGCTTCCACAAACGAGTTGATGTTTTCCATACAGGCAAAGTTTGAGATCGGTTTCTGGATTTTCTTCACGATTCCTGGCTCGATTCCATTTGCTGCCCTTCAATTATGATTTGGAAAATGTGAGAATACATGCTGTTTCTACAAAAGAAATTTCAAGAGAATAAAAAACTTTCCAAGTTATGGATTCACAGACAGAATGGTTCATTGAAATGCACGAAAGTTATTAAGGAGACAAATTTATTTTATTTATTTAATTATTTGTAATTTTCTTCGTATTTTTGTTGAGCAAACGCGAGGTGTTATTATTCTTTGTTCACGATTAAGCTGACGTGTTAGTTACCTTCGGTTAAACTGTTAGTTAAACTAGTTACTTAGTGGAGACCTCATAGAAAGCGGCTCTGAAGAAGACGAAATCCGCCGAAACGTCAGCTTAATCGTGAACAAAGAATAGTAACACCTCGCGTTTGCTCAACAAAAATGCGAAGAAAATCACTTGATCAATGCCGAGGTTAATAGAAAGTCGGTCGTGGCAGTTAATTATTTGTATGAACCGTCTTGATGTATTGTGTGGATCGTAGCACTTATGCTTTCGTTCGTTTCGTTGTCTAGCATCCGTCATCTTCAAAGGTTCTCTAGCTTTCGGTTGTTTCGGCTGCTGCGTGAGGATTTTGGACTTGTTTTAGAAATGGCTTTGCATGCAGATCGAAGCGGTTCTCTCTGGAATCCTAGGATTACTTTGCTAAAGCGTTCTATAGTCTCGCCCAGAGGCAGTGATCAGTTTTAGTGCATCGAAAGGAGCTGTTTCCAGTAAAGTCTGCTGCCAATGTATCAGCCATGGAGCGATAACGGTTCTCGTTGGCTCTGTTTGGTGACGTTGGCACCTCTCGTAACTGTTCTTTCTAAATGCTTTATTAAATTATTGTAGGTGTGCTGCTGATTGCTTTCAGCTGAAGTGAACGAAACAGTTCTAATTTTGGATGAGGCTGCTTTTTAATTTTTATGAGGTAAATCCCTAGATCGACTCTCTGCTAACCTTGGCATTAGTAATCAATCATTCACTGTTTTCCTCATGAGCAGACCCAGCAGAAATTGTTTTTACAGTCTCTATTTAGTCACAAGGTGACGTTTTCGCGGTTTCGCCTTCTTCAGAACCTGGAAAAGTTGAATTCACACGCAATCTACCCAATAAAACACTTTCTTAACCTTATTTAAGACAAAATTTTCATTCGCATAGTAAGCAGCTTCTCTTAAACACTCATCGTTTTGTCTTTGTAAGACTTCCACTTATTCGAAGGAGAAGCTGTGTATTATGGGATTGAAAATTCAAGTCTTAAATTTTATCTGCTGAGGTTTTGAAAATGTTTGAGTGCGTAGTTTGCATGTCGATTTGACTTTTCCAGGCTCTGGAGAAGGCGAAACTGCAAACATCAGTTACTGTGAATAAATGCTGTGATAACAGCCTCGTGTTTGCTCAACAAGGGTTGGGTGAACTATGCAAAAAAGTCTCTGTAAGAAAAAACACTACCGCATCAATACGCTGTTAAATCTACCTGTAATAATGCATTTGCCGCTCATTTATACTACATAGTTGGACAACTGAAAAACTTACGCTCAGCTATCTTAAGTATCTCGTAGGCTTCTTCTCTTGACTTAGCCCTTTAAGGATATAATACTTAAAGGTAACCTGTTTCTTCCATTAGCGAGTGTTTTTTGTGTTTGTATTCAACTACGTAGTTGTCTATAACCAGGTAATGCCAACTACTAACAATTCTGCTCAACGTGGGAGAAACACTAGTATCTTTCTGGAATAAAGCTCAGAGAACATCAAATCTATGTCTTGTTGGCTCTTCTGAGAAATTTTACTTGTCCATATTTGTTTTTCGCGTGATACTTTCTTAGCATTCTGATACTCGCGAAAGGTTTGAACGGCAAAGTTCAATTAGAAATTGGGTTTGTCGATTATGTTGCACACAACGTTGTTCAAGTAGCCTTGTGAGTGGCGTGCTGAATCCTCTATTGAGGTGACAGCTACGTACCGTTTGCCTAGGAAAGAACTAGAAGAACTACCAATTCAAACAACTGAGCAGAGAAATCTGAAATCGTCATTTGGCCGTAGTGAAACCAGGACCTCGGCTCAAAAGTCACCATCACTGCCATGAAGAAAGAATGGACATTGAGTTAAGGTCAAAACGTTATGATTTTGAATCCACCTTCAGCTTAACTGGATCCGATACCGATTTTTGCTCTTCAAATCGTTCTCGCTGATGGACTATTGCTGATAATAACGCTGTAGTAAAAGCAAGGTTTAGAGAGAGGTAAAGCAAGGCTCTTGGCTTGTTGTGGTGAAAAGTCAGTGAGCCCTCGGAAATCGTTATCGCCGGTTCAAAGCCCACATCAGCCCTAGTTTTGCTCACACCAGCCCTTCATCACATATAGAGGGTGGAAAACGAAAAAGAGGTTAGCCATGCCAAAGTCTGCTCCAGGTGGTCACCATCGTAGGCGGTCGCCGCCCTTGTGGATCAGAGGGAAATTTGTCACCATGCGACTAGTTTGATACCAGGACTGTGCTAGATGCTGGTATTGGTTTGCTCTTTGCTAGGCTACCGGATAGAAACGCCAGACTCTTTTTCAGCTTTGGAGGCCTGGCCGGGGAATAAATCTTTCCGCTGTACATCGCAGCCCGACACTCGGGACACCTTCCAGCCATTATAAAGCAGTAAACCGTTGAGATGGGGTACACATATCTGAGTCAAATATTCGAACGGAGTGGACAGTGGTCGAATCCAAAACTTGAGATCTTATACTGCGGTATGTATTTGTAGTTTTAGGGAGCCTAAATAAGCAACGTTTAATATATTCACGGCTTGAGACGCTTCTTGAAGACTTTCTCACTAACCAAAGAGTAAGACTATTGAGCAAGACCTCTACATGTCGGCATTGTAGGAGGCACTTTCCTGTTTATTTACTTCCCCGTCCACAGTTCCTTGAAGAAGATTCATGCAGATCTCGGGAGCATAACAGCCGTCATTAAATGAGATATTTTTCCGGAAGTCGAGCGATGTGGCACCTACGCCATCGACTTATTACAACACAACCATCCCATCGGCATATGCTGTTCACTTGGCTTGGCCAACTCTCATCATTCCAGTCACAACTGTGAGCAAGACAGACGGAAGAAAAAAACTTTCAAGCTTATTAGACTGGGCACAATTTTTTTCTTTGGTAAGTGAAAAGCACTAAGGACAGCTTTATTATGGATATTGCATAAATGTCCTGAAAAATTTTGCAGTTCTCTTAAGACTAATCCAGGTGAAATGGACTCTTGCGAATTACCACAATATATGTAAGGATGAGGATCACCTGTATCACCTGTAGGCCCGTAGACCGTCGAATAACTCAAGCGGGCGCCAGTTAACCTTCCATTTTTCCTTATCGCGTGCAAGAGTAGCCCAATGGGTTCTGCTCGCTCTTCGGACTCGTCGAGCCTCACGTCTTTCTTCAAGGCTCCTTGTGAAAAACTCTGACCATCGGGTCTGTGGTCTCACTGCAGTGCTTTTGACATCCCGAGGAATCCAGTCACTAACGGCTGTTGTCCATCGGTTGTCATTCATACACATTACGTGTCCGGCCCACCTTGTCTTCGACTGTTTGACGTACAGAGCGGCATCTTTGATTTTTGATCGTTGTAGCGTTGAATCTCATCCTTTACTTGTGTGAAACGGGATACTCCTAGCATCGTCCTTTCGACTGCGCGTTCGATAACGCTTAGTGATATTTCATCCTGCTTGCGCAGCGACCACGTTTCTGACGCATACGTTAGGGCAGGAAGTACTGTTGAGTCGAAAAGTCGGGTGTTCTTTGTTCTCTTCACTACATCCTCGATGTTTTTGAAAGCTCCCCAAGCCGCTCGTTTTCTTCTCCTCAACTCTGGAGCTAAGTGTTTATCATATTGATTTCCTGACCTAGGTAGACATAACTGGAGCATTCGGAGATATTCGTTCCGTTGGCCGTGAATGGGGTATACAAAACCAATCCGATCCTCATAAACATCGTTTTTGTGAGAATTAGTCGAAGACGAATCTTTCCACAGGCTTTATCAAAATCGGCAAGCATACGTTCCGCTTGGCCAATGTTTGGTGTTATAAGGACAATGTCGTCAGCAAAGCGAAGATCGTGTAACTGTCGACCGTCGATTTTCACTCGCATATTATCTCATTCTAATGTTAGCATGACGTTCTGGAGGGTGGCGGTAAATAATTTTGGCGAGATGGTATCGCCTTGCCTAACCTCTCTCTTGACGTCAATGTTAATATCGTTGTAGAATGGTGATATCTTGGTTGTAAATTTCTTAAATTCTTTAAATTTAGTTTAAATAAATATTCTCGAAGTAACTCAACATTTATTCGATTAGTAGAAACAAGACGTACTTGCATAATAGTGTGCCGTCCTTGAGAAGTTTTAAGAAGTTATCTCGATCTCCAGATGTATTGATGTTCTCGCCAGACAGTTGCTTTATCCACGCCAGAAGTATTGTTCCTTCGTCTTCGTTATACTTGGAGTCTTGCTGCAAATAATTAGAGGAAAAACTTCACAGACCATGCATATTTAGTAGAAATAATACAATTTTCAACCGATACAAGTAGGCGAATGAATAATTATTAAGAGTAAACTCACCTTTTGTCGCACGGCAAACCCGATTCCTCCAGCAGTGGTACGGCTAGCCATGTTGCTAGACGGAGACTGACTGATTTTAACTTTGTTTTGTGCTTTGTTGTGGAATATCGTGCACCAGTTGGCTGCCACTAGAAATGACCACACCTCCTCTGGTCGCTGATTGGACGATAGAAGTTCTCACAATCAAAGTTACGCCCTCCTATTCTGTTTGGTTGCCACGCCTTTGAACGTCGGAGGTGGAGATCTCGTCGATGACGCAGAACAATAAAGGCGTAAGAACAGCTGCTCGGTGCAAGTGATTAAGAAGGAGAGTCTAAGAAGAAGAATCCATAAGTATTAATAGATTTAACAGTATTCAACAGTTCAAATTCCAGTCGGTTTTAATAAAATAAGGAATTTGCAGCTTTCATTTGCTATCTATTAAATTTTTACGACAGAGTGTTATGTGGAACACAACCGCAAGAATTCTGAGACAATAGCGAAACGCTAAGCATCAATTGGGTCTCGAACCCACGATTACCTTTGCCAAGGGCTCAGCTGTATTTACGACACCAACCGAGACCTCTTTGCCTTGCTCTCGGCTAATTTTTTCACTTTAAGTAATGAAGCTAAAAAAACCTTACCTCTACCCTACGGATCCAAAGAGTTCTTGCATTCGATTAGTTGCATAGCATCCACCATGTACAAAGTTTTTCACACTTTTGATGTGCACAGTGAATGTTATTAAATGCAGGCCGAATTGATTCTATCTGAAATCTCAGAATAGCCAAGCTAGAGCGCTTCCACTTTGATTGCATTGAGTTGCCTGTTGCCGGGCAAGTCTGATACTCTCTCATCCCACCGTGGAGAACTAAGTAACTTCGTGAGCCCGCTCCATGCGGGATCGAACCAGTACTGTCCTTATGATGAACATTACCGCTACCACTGCGTTAGCCGCCTCAACGAAGTGGGTTTATCTTTGGCGTTCAGGATCTATTTGACTAAGATACGCTACCTATACTAAAAGTCTTTCCAACCACTTTTTTCTTATTTTAGCCTAGATCATACACTTATCGTAGCAAACCGTGTAAAAAGAGCTTTTAGTACTCACTTTGCGTCGCTTTTATTTTTCTTATATTATATTACTTTACATTTTTTACACTTCTCACTGAGCTTTTCCAGATGGTGCGCAGTTGATTCAACGGCGTTCTCTGAACTGTGCCTAGTACTACTGCTCATCCCGTGCGTCACTTATGACAGAGGCAAATTATGTGAACAGATGCGTTTTGTTGCTTGTAAGAAAATTTTAGAGCGTGATTGTCTCCAAACTTAAAAGTCTTTTTTTTCAATGGAATAATTCAGCACAGTTTGTTTTCCTTGGGTTTCTCTTCCCGCTCGTTTGATTTCTTTCGTAGCGCTTCGTTTCATCGGTCACAGACGAATACGCGCCAATTGGAAGTAGATGATTTCAACCACAAATTGAAAGTCTTTCTAACTTGTTAGAAAGAGAAAAAAGAACACCAGCGAAGGACACCGATATAGTTAACACAGATAGTGAGGCGTTCGTGCTCTGGTCTCCGTCCAAAAGTTCATCACTTCAGTCCTCTTCAACAGGAATGACGGAATCTTGGACAAAGGCAGGAAGCATTGCGTTATCCGTCGATTGCGGATCATTTCCACATATGTCATGAAACCTCTCGAGGGAGACCAAAGGCAGAGCATGTTGAAATGCCTTTTACTCAATAAGTGGAACCAAGAGCTCTTTCTAGTAGAGTTTTCAATTTTGAAAATTGCAACTTGTTTGCCCACCATTTCTTTCTTGCTCTAAGCTACGAAATGCCGTATTTTTAGGCTTTGCGAGTGGAAAACTAAGTTTGTTTAAGTAATTTTACATTCCTTGACATTCTTTGGATCACATCCTACCTATCGATGTGAGTTTCAGGCAGACGATTTCTTGCTTTCTAGCGTATTAATAGTCCTGAAGATGTCAGCTGTTTAATAAAAAAGAGAAGCAAACACTTATCGATCCAACACCAATGTTGCATCTGTTTATCAACAAATGTTAATACATATTTGCATCAAGGAGCATGTAGGCGCAGTGGTTAGAGGTCCTCTGCAATACACCTAGTTGTTGGTTCAATTTTCCTCCAAAGACAAAGAAAGCTTCCCATCTTTGTAACGTCGGAAATTGGTTAGCGGATTAATATACTTGCCTGAGGAGGATAAAAGCATTGAGTTGCTACCTCTGCAAGCCACTATATATGCCAAATAACATCCAACCACCTCAACGATGGTGTGAATGGGATCGAATACATGTTATATCCCTAAGGGACTCTAAGCGCTTTTACTAGAAAGCCATGAGTACACCGCCCATATTGATTAGCGCTGACACATTTGCTGAATTCTATTTGTAAAGTCGCAGTCGATGTAGGTGGATGGCGGATTCGACAAGTAGAAAAACTTAAGGCCAGTCACTGAGGGCAATTCGGCTGTCTTATCCTTCACAAACACATCTGTTAGCAATTTACTGAGGGCGACTGATAGTTGAAAGAAATAGTGGCATATCGAAATAGCATCGTTTTTCTTTCTTTACAACGACGTCCAAGCTTGTATATGTGAAGAAGCATCCTTCATCTCTCAAAGCCAAACTAACATTCTATAACAAGATTCTCTACTGGTTTTGCAAACAATATACTGCTTAACCTCTTCATCTTTTCACTATCTGAACGACTTACCTCGAGCTGATATAAATGGAAAAGATGGTCTTATTTTTGCACTACTTGTTTACTAGTTATTCTAGAAAGCACAACGTCTGTTCGATTCACTATACCGATCAGTTTATAACGCTAGAAAGTGCATTAGTAACAGCTACTGTTTTTTCTTAACTATTTAAAGTCTCATTGCATCCAATCTAAACATATTTCTGCATCTTATAAAAACACTGTGGAGAGCGATTCGATGTTTGGCCGCTGTAGTTTTAGTATCGTGCGGATTCAGAAGCTCTGTGGTGTTTAGGCTATGAGAGAAATTGGAACACTTCTGGGAATGACGCGCCACTAGTGTGTCAATTTTTAATCTTCCAAAGACTGGAAAAAGTTAAAACTTCGTATTAATAAAGCTCTGAAACTAAATCCATTCATCTTTCGCCTATTTGCAAAGTTTACCTTCTTAAATTGCTGGACGGAGAGCTCCACGGAAGTTATACATTAATGACTTTTATTCTGTGATTGTGAATCAAAAGCCTGATATTCGATTCCCCTGATTTCTGACATCTCGACCTATGTGACAGTATCACAGGTCATTGATTAAATTATAGACTGGAATCTCTTATTTAACTGCTCAGTTGCTTGATACAGTATGATAACAACGTGGATAGAACTTGTAAAACCAAAGAAAAGCTAAATAGAACCAACTCGCTCCATAGTGTAGTGTGCACGTTGATAACATAACGTTGGCGTAACGCAAGAGTGGATGGCGCGGTTGTAGTGAGGCCATTCATTACGCGGAAGGGCCAACCTAGACAGGCGTTGGACCGACGCCAGCATGGGCCTACCAAGTCTCCCATCCTCCGGAGTGAGGAAATTGGCACGATGCTTGTCTGGGAGCATCTCATTCCTTCTAATCCATATTGGAAAGCCCTAGCCTGCTTTTCATAGGATTCTAGGAAGAATCGACACTATCAGCATTAAGACATTAAAGACGTCAATAGAAACTCTCAAGCAGCAGCCCAATCATAGAGGAAAAATTTCAAAAACCTTCACCAACAATGGGTGCGAGAAGAGGAACCGAAAAGAAGAAGTGTGCGATTTTCGATTACGTGATAGGAGGTGTTGGGTGATGTAAAAACAAAAAGAAGGATATTGCGGTGAAGATTTCGATGGAAATACTGTGAAAAAAAAACAATTGATCACAATATATACGTTCAGCTGCACGCTTTTTGTCATTTTCACTAATTTTCGATGTTTTTTAAAGCATTCCAAGCCTTCCAATACATTTTACTAAGTTCTGTGACAGAATAATTCGTCTTCTATGCTGTCTGGACTTATATGTGCATATTTTGTGCAAAGAGGCAGATATCACAGTGCTAGTGATGCCCGTCATCACGAGCATGGTGCTAGTTCGATTCCGCTCTAGGACGAACAAGCCTCTCATCTCTCCGGGGTCGGGAAATTAGTATCGGACTTGTCTGGAAAAAAATCACTTTCTGCAATACAACTGGAAACAGTCCAGCCCGGCTATCTCAGGACTCCAGGAAAAATTGCTCGAGCAGCATTCTACGATATTCAAGATGAAATTAAATACTTCAAGCAGTAGCCAAAGCCACACGTTAAAATTGGAAGACCATGGTACAGGTCATATAAAATAAAAAAATTTCTACATGACTAGGCTGAAATTTCTTGGCGTAGAAACTTAAGATGTTCAGTCATACATAACTGAGAGCTTTTGGAATGCTTGATCCGTTTGGAACCAATAGCACGTCAAAAACTTAATCCAGTTCTCCCGAACACTTTTCTAGCGGTTTTCTCAGACGCGTGTCAAGACGCAATAACTACCAAATAGCCAATTTCGGGCACATGTTTTCCATTCAAGTTTTTCCATGACGTTCGAAAGAGCACCGCACTGAGCAGTTTTTTTCTTTCTATCGATAAAAGACACAAAACGTCACCATTTACTTTTGTAATATCTCAGTAAATTTACAAACACTTCGCTGCTGTTCATTGCACCGAGCCTTCCTCGTTGCTGAGGTACCATCAATATTTATCCCCCATCCAAAATCGGCGCACGCTTTAGCTTACGAGGCCTTGAAGATTTGCATAAAAACAACATAACTCTGCAACTAGCCAATTTCAACTTCATCCTCTACTGTAATTACACTCCTCTCTTGATATATTGTTCCGTTTTTGTAAGATTTTACATACTTGAAGAAAGATTGTTAGATTCAAGTGATTCTTATAGCTGGGCATCCTTATCGACTCAAAAACATTCGGCGAAAGGTTTACTTTGGTGGTTCTCAAACTCTTCGCCTTCTGAATAGAACCGTGAAGGTAATGAGTGGCCTGATGGTATATCCCTTATTCATGTCCCCGAAGATATTAGCTTCCTAAAAGCAAATCAGAAAGGTAGAAGCAAATCCAATTCACGAGAGCTACAGGATTTCCATTCTAGGATTTCCCAGCGACGTTATCTTCAATGAAGTTTTCTGCAAGGAGGCAGGCGACGGACCCATCCCTGGTATAAATGTAACGAAGAACACAGTACAGCCTTCCATCTTCTTGACGGATTTGCTAATAAAAGTTCCACTCCTCAATTTGGGTAAAGCAATAGGAACACCAAAAACCTTACCTCTTCTTAACACCACAATTCCACAACATCAGGAAAGCATTCCTACATACTTATATTCTCTATTACCATAACGGAAAAGGTTGGCAACAAAGAGTTTATCCATACGACCATTCAAAACTATTTTCTATTCTATTCCTTAAGCAACACAAAGTAGAAAAGACATGGATGAGAAAGGGCAAAGCAAGGGTCAGGGTTGGTGTGATGGATAGCACGTGAACCGCCAAAAAGTGTACTCACGCGTCCGAAGCAAACCTGAGATCCTGAGCTTTGCTCAAATCTTAGCATCACTGCGTCATATTCCTTAAATAACTTCTCTATCTATGCATATATCGACTCTCAATTCAATCGTATACACCGCTTAATACTAGGAGAGGACTAAGATAAGAAGTAGCAGAACATCACCACCTAAGAAAGTTGTCCATCATCTTCTACCTAATGTAAAGACAGCAATATCCTTAGCATCACGTTGAGCAGCACTATTAAAGGAAACTGAACCCTATAGTCTACCAACCATCAGTCTTTCAGTCCTGGATACCTCCGTAAAATCTCCAAAGTGCATGTTTAACCAGACTCCAGTACTAGGAGAAAACCAATGTAACTGCAGCAAGGAAAACCAATTGCCAAAACAGTTTCTCGCCAGTTATCTATATCGATAAGAACTTCTTCGTTCACATACTGAACAAATAATCCTCTCTCACTCTTCGTTATCACATGAACAATTCGTGTTTTGCATTGCAACTAGTTTGACATGTTTAAGCCTATGATGACAAAGTTTCCATTTTTACAAACTTGACAAGCGCGGATTTGGGCAGACTTCGGCCATGCTGACCTCGGGATCCCAGAGAACCACAATGGCTCAACCGGTAAGTCTCCAAAAAAGAAAAAAAATTGGAGATTGTGCTGACGACTGCACAACTACCGAAGACGGGCCGTCCAAGTATACAAGAATCCAAGACAAGAACGGATTCGTTTATGAGGTTATTACAGACTCGTGTTCAAAAACATCTAGAAATAAAGTTTATTAAAATGCTATACATACTTATATATAGCGATTTATACAACGACAGCATCAAAACTTCAGAGTGATAACAGAATTTGAAACAACACGATCACTTCCAAGTAGTTAAGTTGCAATATTTAGTAAACAACTGGCAATTATGTACAGAAAACACGAATATCCTATATAGGGTAAAACTATCAAACAGTAACTCTTCTCACTGTAATATTCAATTGCTGAATGAAAACAGAATCATGAAAAGACCAGTGTCCTAGTGATATAGTCTTTTCCCGCAAAACTATAACAAAGAAAAACTTGGACGACGTTACCATAAAGTAAATGTATACAACAAACTAGAAACATATAACGTACACAAGAAATGAAAGGCCATTCCTCGGCGGCTAAGGCAACAAGTATCTATTTGATTTATTTTATTACTCAATACTATATTGTACTCGAGTTTATTGCAGCCTTTTTCGTGGTCGAGACCAATCTTTTATCTTGACCAGACAACTAGGCACCGTTAAGACCATTGCTAAAATCTACACCACTTTTTTTTTTGTTTTTTAGCTCAAGTGAAGCCAACCCGGTGAAGATAGACCAGTAAGTTTTAATGGGTATTTATTGGCTAGGTATAGAAAACACTACCAAGAGTGTTTTCGTTCTCTTGAAAGAGGCTTATAGTGGTCTACTGAGAGGTCTGAAAATGAAGATTTAAGCCTGACTGGTAGGGATATCTATTCGGTAATTGCGAAGCGTTAGCTCTATAATGAAAACAGCTTTACTATGGACTAAATGCAGATGATGATTACAGGAAGTAGGAGAGAAAAATTAAAACGACGGAACAAAACCCGTACCACACCTAGTTCCTTGAAACGGGACAAAATTGAACGTACAACACGGGTGCGAGTTGTAGTTTGGTCAGTGTGGATGAACGGGCGATAAATGAACCGAATAGAAATTGACATAGGGCAATGGATACTATCATCATAACTGCACAAAAAGTTATAAGCAATGATTGAGTGAAAAGTGGCTGATGACCGGTAAGGCTCGTAATAACAAGCAAAATTTGATAAAATGAAACAGAAAGAAGAACACAAAGCAACATGTTGAAACACGATCTGTCCAAAAATGAAAAAGGATTCCACTTTTTACCTGCACATAGCGTAAAAAAGCTTATTACATCCAAATGACTTCTCCACAACAAAGTCGTGGAAAGCATAATATCATAAGCTGTATTCGAAATATGAGAAAAGGAAATCTTAGATGGTCTGGTTAGACCAGTTCGATTCGCTTGAAACGACTTGGCGTTTCCGTTGACTCAAACGGGCGAATAGTTACCGGTGCTGGTGAAAGCGCCGACTGATCTGTTGGTGTAGCTCCACCAGGAGGTGAATTCGATGGACTTGAGATTGTTGATGAGGGCGAGTGCGAAAGTGAAACTCGTCGAACTCGTCGTGTTAACGACTGAAGATCTTCTAGAACCGAATCAACCAGCACTTCTTCCGCTTGTGTAGATGGATCCATTGGCAGACTGAATTTGAGGGATACTCAACGAAAAGCTCCAACAAATACGAATCAAAGCCACTATGTTCATTAAACAAATCATCTTATAAGAGCAAAAAACAAAATCAGCCTGAGAATGCAATGGGAGTTGTGCGCATTACATTGAATAGAAGAAAAGAGTATTCACATAGAAGACTGTGTAACAGTGATGTCGTAGGCACGTTTTACCTCTGTTTAAACCCCTTAAACTAAGAACAATAAACTGATTCGTACCTATCTTGAATTTCAGTAGCCATTCGCTTCAATTCATTCGAAATGGTGACCAATTCACCAGGTGGATTGGAATGTGCGATGATTTGATCAACCAGTACACCATTTATCACCATCTTCAGTACATCTAACGAATATCGTTCGGCTAACAGTAGCATTTTTTTTGTAAAGTCCGAGTCAACCTCTTCCTGAAAACAGTTGCCGTATAGTAAAGTGTAACAGAACTGAACGAAATGAACAAGTTAGTAGGAGGATAAACGGATTTTATAAGCAACACAGTCATCAACGACCAGCTTAGGGCGGCGTTTACAACTCTCCTAGCTGGATTTTACCGACTATTGATTTGAATATTATTAAAAATATTATTGACTACTCATGCCCATATAACTGACTACTCATGTTAAATGAAGGCTGACTTTCAAAATAATTGCTACCAGTCAAATTTTCCTCTCAATATGGTAATGTACAGTTCCGTACGCTTTTTGTAGAGTAGAAGCCACTACGCTATTTTACAAACGATTTTTTATATCTGATGCGCCATACATCACTCTGCTATGAAACTCTGACGGTATTCAATTATTATGCTATTGAAGGAAGCGTGTGGCGCAGTGGTCGGAGGCGCCCTGCAACACACACGGAATGAATCCCAGCGCTCATAGCCCGCTAAGCCTTCCATCCCTCCGGGGTCGGCAAATTGGTACCAGACTTGTCTGCAAGGATAACAGCACTGGTTTGACACATGGTAGGCCATCGCAAGTCATTGTAAAGGCCATATGTGCATCCAGTCATCTCCAAAGATGTTTAATAACGTCGAATGCACATGGCGCATCCTCTAGGCTCACGGCGAGAGCTTTATCCTTTTTTATTTTTTATTCTGTTATTCGCATTTCATTAGATCTGAAATGGGATAAGTAAAAAGCGGTAGTCATTTAATTAGCTGAGAGACAGGCAAAACGAAGGACCCGGATGGTGTGGTGGTGAAGTGCGTTACTCCCCGGTAAAGACAATAGCGCGTTCGTTCCCCACCGCATACACCTGAGGTCCGGAGTCTTGCAAATATCTCAGCATTATATACGAGTTATATTTCGCAACATAAAAAAGAAAAAGGCCATTAAAAAGAAAAAGGCAGTGAATAAAAGGGTTAAGATGGTAATCATCTACATCAAGTTTGCATCTCTTCTCGTTTCCTTAAGGTTTTCATGATTTCTATAACAGTTTTATAACAATAACTTCTTTAAAGATGATATTGTTTATCAATTTAGCGTTACCAGAGATGAATGATGTCGTTACCGTATGCTCACTGTCAAGAGTTGCTTGAAAATTCATCACAGAGAATAACTAAGTCCAAAGCAAGCTTTTTTCATCATGCTATATAATGATGGTTAAAATATGTACTGTCCCTTATGGATTGAAAGAATTTGCTATCAAATGGACGACGTTTTCAAAACATGACGTGCTCGATCATCTGTCTGATGCCTGGTTGTAAAGTGTTGAAGAAATTCACTTCCGGAGCGTTTTCCATACCATAAAAGTCGACATTACGCAAATAGAAACATTAGCGATAGACCGCAAAAGAAATTTCTAGAAAACTTAAATGTAACCAGTAACAGGTTTTGAATGAAAGCATAAGTTCCTTCTTCGTCAACATGACGCGGACCTGTTACAAGGATCTAGGGAGCTAAGCAAAACTGTGCATAGTAAGATTAACCTATACAGAATGAGCTCCAAAAGATGGAAACTTATGGTCCAAAAAGAAACTACTTTCAGCGGGATTAATTTGAAATTGTTCAGAAAGCGTTAACCACGAATGAGTTGTATTTCATACATGCACTTGAGCGAAATTTTGAGTGGATGACTCGAGAAAATAACATGGAAAGGATGACTATATTCCTAATCAGTAATAACACGTATTGTAAGAGGAATAACAATGGTAATAATAATAGTTATTAGCATAGCTTTGAAAAAAACTATATTGGATAAGGAGTTTCTTTGAACAGCGGCTCCATGATAACAATGGAAACCGTGTTACAAAAGCACATTTTGCTAAGACACTGGATGACAGCGATGTGGTCTATAGTTCATTTTTGAAGCATATTTTAGATTACCTTCTAAATTCGTTTTACATGAACCGTCCTCCAATCTACTATGCGCATCCTAGTAGTTCTTTCTTTCGATTTATATGATCACATCCATCATCCACGAAAATCTTCGAACTATTCGCTTCTGGGTTCGGCTCCTGCTTAAGGATTTCGTTCGTCTTCCGTTACGAATGTCATTGAAATGTCATTGAAGTCGATTCTTCCTGGAATCCTGGGATAGCCGGGCTACAGCGTTCACATTTGGATTGGAGATAAGTCTGGTACCAATCTGGTACCGACCCTGTCAGCGTGGAAGGTTTCGTGCTCGCGGGATGGGATCGAACCAGAACTGCATTTGTGATGAACGGCATCACAACCTTGGATAAGCATAATTAATAGTTAAGAGACTTAATGACCGTTAGTTTGAAATAGCTTGCAAGACGATGCTTATATTTCTTAAAACTAGATTTACTCACGGCCGGAAGTATTTTATCTCTTAGACTTTAGAAAAATATTTTTAAGCTTAAACTTTAAACAAATATATCTCAGCTCATATTGAACCTTATCAATTTAAAAAAGAACTATTTAGAACTAAACATCTTTGCCACCAATAAAAAAGCCTTTGTACTCTATAGCGATCAGATTCTAAATTACTAGACTCTACTAATCGGTTTCTCTTTGCTTTCTTTTTTTCTGTTTCCGTCGACGCCCTTATCTCAAACACTCAAGTGACTGGACGGTCAGGAATTTCTAGAACACGATGTTCTGGTCCCAAATGTATCGCTGGTGGTTGTGGCCGCTGTGCACGTTTTGAAACTTTCTAAAAAGAATAACCCTTTATCTAATGAACATTTTAACTCATGTTAATCAACATACTAAAAAATTCATAGAAATTATACGTTTGAGGCGGTGGAAGAAGGCCTTTTGTACATTTCTGCCTAGTTTTTAACTATTTAACTGTTCCTTAATTAATTAATTTTTAACTCACTAGAAAACTAGCTGAGAGAAAGCAGGAACGAAGGACCCGCTTGGTGTGGTGGTGAACGCGTTAGCCCCTCAAAAGGGTGACAGCGTGTTCGTTCCCCACCACAGACACCTGCGGTGCAGAGTTTTGCAAATATTTCCGCATTATAGTGATTATATTATTTATTAGTGTTGTTGCAGCTTTGTTATCTCAGAGCCACTGTGGTTGTATCACATACAATTCCCTGCCGTGAAAAATAGTAAAAGGCAGTAAATCAAAAAGTTAACACTGTTATTAAGCTAATCTATTTATTTGAGATCTATTGATAGTTATTAAACAACAAGCATAGGCGTTTTCCCGCTCTCACTTCTATTCGCAACAAACTGCTGAAAAAAGATAAAATAAACAGAAAATAAGCTCCAAGATTCTTGTCCAACTCCTGCAGCACCAGCTGTAACCTCGTTAGCTATTGGGTAACTCAATCTCCTACTTCCAAACTTCATTCGTCCCAGACGCAAGCCAGTGAAATCTCCTTGCAAGGGCAAGGGATACAAGGAGCATCAGTACTTTAAGCATATTCTTAGTAAAACAAGTAGTAATGGGTAGCTCGCAGGGTTCTGCTGTAGCATAAGTTTATTCTCTGCCGTGTTTCCGGATAAAAATTTCGAATTCCTTCTCAGCATGGGAGTAGTGCTTGCTTTGCAGTTTGACAACCAAGAACATCCCAAAATCACGATAATGCGACAAACCATTCGATGGATTTGATTTATACCTTTATTTTAACACTCTTCCCAACGGTTTGCTGCCATACCTTGGCTGGTAGGTGTTCCTGTGTGTCGGAGTGCGATGTACGGAGGGACTCATCCCCTGGCAAGGTTTCCCAAGCTGAGGTGTCCGGCGCTTCCATCAGGAAGCCTAGCTAAGAGTAAGCCAATACCAAGATCCACCAGCGTCCTGATATCAAAAGTCGCATGCTGGCAAATCTCCCTCTGATCCACAAGGTCTGCGAGTGCCTGTGGTGGTGACGACGTGGGGCAGACTTTGGCCACGCTGACCTCGAGGTTCCAGGAAACCACAATGGCTAATCCAGCAAATCTCCGAAAAAATGGAGATTATGTTGAGGTCCACACAATCAGAGAGGACAGGACCATCCAAGTGTCCTAGTATTTTAACACTTCCATTAATATAAAATTTTTTCAGTATTCGCGATGGCATCAAAGTATTACCAACCAATTACACATCTAAATATAAAAACTTTGTTCCATTAGCAAGTTTTAATTTTCATTTCCGTCACAGTAGTATAATAAATAAATCGCTTATTGAGTAACCCATAAAAAGAAGAAAAGAAAAACGACTGTTTTAACCGTGAAGAAGACTATCAACAGCAACGCCGTATAGTAAACATAACACTACGGGGGAGATTATGGCCATACCATGGAAGGAAAACAAATTTGTACGATAGATAATAAACTACATTATCAAAACACTTACCAACCGCTGAGTAAAGATAATAAGATGAAGTATACTCGATAAGGGTACACTCACCGACATGACCTCTCTGCACATGAATCGCTCCATCTCCTTTCTCAATGGAGGAATATGAGCTTGATCGATTCCTTCGAGAAGCGAGATAAAGTCTTCGAAATATTGCACTTCCTTCATTAATACTTGCTCAAAGTATACATGGGCGAATGTCTAAAAACAGCAGTTAAAATGTATTTTATAGCACCATGTTACATAAAAAGGTTTGTGTACGTGTTTCGTTTTGGTTCAAATCCTTATAATATTCGAGGAACGCTCTGTGTTTTCTCACGGGGCACGTGTAGCAGCATAATGGTTAGAGATGTCCGGCAATGCACAAGAGACCGCTGATTTGATCCCACGTCCGGACTCATTAAGCCTTTCACCCCTCCAGGATCGATGAAATGGTGCCAGAATTGAACGAAAGGATAGTAATATTGAATTGATATAACGCTAGGCCACCACAAGTCATTGTATTTGTCGGATATGCATTCAGTCACCTCTAACGATGCTGGATGATTTTGGCTGCATTGCGCATTTCTCAGGGATTGACCAACGCCAAAAGCTTCAAGCTTTAGTTTTTCTCACAGCTGCCATTCCTTTTCTACCTTAAAGACACCCCTTGCAGGTATCCCGACGTGAGAATAGCGATAAGCAACTCTGTGCCCGTATGGAACAAAGGTTATTGTGACTTTACGATAAGAATGAAACGCGTCCTGTCAATTTAAGGCTAATTCAGTATAAAAACTAGAACACATTGAACTAAATGGATTTGAATATTTGAGTATTCAGCGCTATCAAAAGGAAAGTGTCCAAAATAAACGTAGTACAACTGAGCATCAATATGTTGTCAGTGGAGATTACAAAAGCAGAATATAGCAAGTACACAAAAAGACAGATTTTAAAAACACTAGCAGATCAAAACATACACTTCTAACAAGATTTAACCCATGTTCCGTTAGTTCTTCGTCATCGCTGAAGCACTCTTTTTCCACACGATCACACCCAAATAGAAACACCAAACGATGCATTGAGAATTTGTCGTCCTACAAGGAAATACAATTTGACAAATAAAAATGCCGATATAAAACTAAGACTCACCTGTACGTGAAACAGATCTAAGTTCGGAATATGAATGGTTTTGTTGTAATAATCACTAATGAACTTCTCACAGATTTCCTCAACACGTTGACTTCTATATGCACGCTCGATGTCCGGCAAATAACTGAGTGGATCAAACAACGAATTCTTGAACCTAAACATAAATACGAATAGAAATCTAAACACTCAAAGTTTCTGAAGTGATTCTGTCTACATACTTAATATCCACGACGATATTCAAGGGTTTATCGATGTGTTGATGCACGAAATCAGTGAAAGTGCTTTCCATTGATTTACTAGGAAGTAACGGCCATCCACTTCCTTTTGTGAATTCACATGAGTTTTCTGACGAAAAACCGGAAAACAATTCGGCACCAGATTGTGGACAAAATATTGACGCCCTGAAAACCACGTTGTACTAGAACGATAGCTATGATATAAACACGTCTTACAACTGAGTATTTCGTTGGTAACTCTGCTCCTACCCTATTTCTTGCCTACAGTAAAGAATAAAGGATAAAGCTCTTGGCACTGATCAATCCCTGAAGGATGCGCCATGCATTCGACTTCATTAAGCACCGTTTGAATGCATATCTGACCTTCCTTTACTCGCAGTGGCCTACCGATGTATCGAGCCAGTGCCGCTATCCCCCAGACAAGTCTGGTACCAATTTTCCGACCGCGGAGAGATGGAAGGCTTGGTGGGCCTTGGGTGCGGAGATCGATTCCAAGCATGCGTTGCAGGGCGCCGCCGACCACCGAGCCACACGCACCCTTTTTTGCATACAATGGTACGTTGAAACCCGTAAACAATATTATGATCCCTTAAAAGAAATTATGGTTCAGTACTATTACACTCCTGAACATTAGGTGCTTGTGTCATACGGTGTAGTTAGAAACTTATTAACTACCACCCATTAAAATTACTTCGCTATGAATGAATTATGCCAGCAATCTGCATCTACCAGCTCTCCAAAAGTTTCTTTCTTTGCTAATTCCTGCTTTAGCTTCTTATTTTTTTTTCTTTTGGAGTCCAATTTTGGTTTAGTACGAACAACGCAAAGACTAAAGACTTACTGTGTTGTTAACCTATAAGTATAAAATCAATCTTTGTCCATTTTTGTCCTAATCACCAGAAACCCAGTTCGAAGCCTAGGGGAAAAATGACCCTTAAAGTGCCAAAAAATTGTAGCGTAAGATACCAGAGCGTGGTTTTAGAAAGGACAGAAATTTTTAATCTAAATTCTACTTTATTTATTTTATATGACCCATCATCATTTCTACAGCACGGATCCCAGGGCCTTTTGCGTTCGATCCTCCTTGAATTCGTCGTCTACAAAAGTCTCAGAATATTTCGTCCGTTAAACACTATGAGAAAAATGGTACTCTAAAATATTTTACTTCATTTATTTTACATAATCAGTATTCAATCAGCTGCCTCGGAACATTTCGAACATCCCAAGAGGCACGAAAGGAAAAACGAGATCAAAACGCTGAACTTACTTTGCCTCCTCCACTATGACATCACTACACGGACCATCTTTATAATAAAGAAGAACGAAAACATGGCGGACTGATGATACAGTAGCGTACTCTGCAATACACTTCTTTTAAGATTGAACACGATTCGGAAGCAACATTATATTCACCTGCACTGGCAAACCAGGGCAAAAAGTGAAATGATTAATGCAACACATGTTATGATGCATAACTATGTAAAAATAATATGCAAAGTGTAATGATAAAACCCATACCACAGGATGATACAACACATTCGTCTGACAATCGGAGTGCCCACGTGAACTGTACGCCATTATACGCAGTGGAAAACGCCGGCGAGACGTTAAGAACGATCGCCTCGGAATTTTCCAACATCCTGAAATAAAAATGATAATTTTGACATACACTTATGTCTCCTTAGCACATGGAGTCAAAAACTAAATCCGGGTCACTGATGGATCTCTCTGACGGCTATTTTTTTGGCGCATTCACCAAGAGTGGATATACACTCACGCAGGGCATTACTTCGACCCACATCTGAATGGAGATCCAGCCATGCCAGTTTTTTAGTATTAAAAATTCTGATGAATTTTCCACATTGCTTCCATATCAATGCAATTATGGTCCAAATGAACTAGATAGCACATGTCAGTGAGGTGTGAACATCGCCTACTCTATCATGAACCACTGTGATGATTGCATGCATACATAATTCATTACGAAGACCAAAATTTGATCAATCGCTGAGCTGATATATCAGCCAAATGGGATCGGTCCCAGCACCCCAGGTTCACTAAGCCTACCACCCCTGAACTTGTGTGGGAAGATAGCAGCACTCTCTCGATTTATCGGTAGACTACCGCGAGTCATTGTAAAAGCCAGATATGCATTCAATCACCTCCAACAATACTTAATGAAGTCGAATGCATGGCGCATCACTCAGAGATTGATCAACACCGAGAGCTCTAACCTTTATTTGCTACTATCTATTATATGTAATTTGTGCTCCAACATACAACCACGTTCCTGTCAACATTTTTCAGCTTATGCTGAATTTGTTTTTTTAAACACCCGCCGATTTCATACGAAAAAATGATTCGTCATAGCGATTGGAACTGAAATAATAGTTATGACAGTTACGTAAGTTAGCTGGTCAATTAATTCGTTCAAAAAAAGGCCTTCTGTAAATTACTAAGTGTATAGCACAGCTTTTCAAAGGCCACGTCTGGCGCAGCACATACCGGACAAGCTATTAATTCAATCCACGGAGTGCGGTAAAACACATGCACTGGATTCAGTGCACTTTGTCCACATTGCCAGCGCACACCCAGTTCCTCACGCATGCATAGTTCATCATGTGATGAAAGCGTTATGCGTTATTGAAGTCGAATACTTGGCGCAAGCGTAAAGAATTGCTCAAACTCGGAAGTTTTACTTTTCATCTTTTGACAAATCGAGAAATACTACGACGTTGGAATTAACAAATAGGTTTTTGACGTTCCTTCGAATTCTACATTCTGCCGATGACATCTTGACGAGAACGTTTTCTGGTAGGACTGAAGACCAACTACGTCATGCTCGACGGTTTCTATAAAATCACGTGTGAAACCACTCCAAGTTATTGGGCTGCCGACCGATAACGTATTATATCGTTCGAGCCGTGAATACACCCGCCACTAATACATCACAACCGGACGTTTCACTATAGAAATCGATGAGCATTGAAGAAGCAATTGTACTTTAAATTATGCAGCATATCATGTAGAAACACTAAGTCTCCTCTTGAGAAAGCGGTACGAAGAAGCAAAATGTTACGTCAAGGAACTAACCATGGCTAAATATACCTTTTGTACGTCTTTATGTTATTTAAAGTAACTAAACAGAATAATGTCAACTTACATTTAAGTCATAAATGCGAGCATAATTGATTAAGGCGTAAATTTCTTACGTTTTCATCGCTAATGACATAGTACTGTTATCACTACAGATACACAGGTATTCCTCTACCCAATAATTTACTACTCGCTTAACACAGCAATCTTTACAAGAACTTGAACGGCAGATCCTCACTAGTTGTGCGAGCCCCAGCATATTTCTCGTTTTTCGGAGATTTGCCGGTTTACCCGCCATGTTTCCTTGGACTCCCGAGCTCAGCCTGTGCAAAGTCTTCCCCAGGTCCTCACCACCACAGGTAATCGACACCCTTATGGATCAGAGAGAAATTTACCACCATGCGACTTGTTTGGTACCAAGATAGTGATGTATTCTGGTGTCGGTTTACTCTTATCTGGGCTTCCAGATGGAAATGCCGGACTCCTTCTCAACCTGAGAGACGCTGCCGTGGGATGAATCCTTCCGTTGTACACCGCAGCCCGATACATAGGAATAGTTCCGAGCCACGATGAGGCGGTAAACCGTTGGGAAGTGCATTTTACTGGTACTTCAAAATCAACGAAGAACCCTCACCGACAATACTTTTAGGTTTTCACTGAGATTTCTAAACCATTGTATTCTTCAGTTACCGTATCCCACTAATTTATTCAGTCCTTGTATGTCCCCAGACAACGACGAGTAGAATTCGATTTCACTGGGCAAGTTTCACCAAGTCCCTTCCAATGAATTTCTGTCAATGAAGTATACGTGGAAAGGGAAAGCTTTGATTCATGGAAAAAAGTCTAAAGCGGCAACATTCCAGAAATACTTAGATGACGAATCCATCTGAGACGACCAATTCAGCTGATAACTTAGAAGCTTCCAAATAAACGAATACTATCGAAATGAAAACTCGCCGGAGACAAATTTTTAACGGCCACGTGTACTGAAAAGTGATGAAATCATCTCGATGTGTTGAAGTACTAGCGAGAACTTCCAGAGGTTGATCAACCTTCGACATGACTTTGCATCAACCTGAAAAGCGTTTAATGGACGTTTTTCCACATAAAGTGCGTTTTTCTGGAAACGACAGGTTTTCGAAGCATTCAAAACTGGAAAAACTAATTTATAAATGTGCACATATAGTTTCGTATATACGTTTCCAGATAAATCGTAAAAGAAGAGTACGATGTGAGGAGCTACAAAACTCGAAACATCACTTGGGCTTCGAACACGCGATTACCCTAATTGACGACTCACGAACTTACTATCCACCACACCTGCCATGAAAAGACAATAGACAGTGAATAAACGTTAAAACATTGATGTAAAGAAAAAATTCCAAGAAAACGGAAATAAAACGAAAGATTTGATCTGCAGAGACGAAGGGCGAAGCATGTACAACAGTAGGACACCTTAGCACTAAGTATGACAGCTAAGGTCAACGGGCTTCAAAGAAACACAAAAGAGAAGAGAGGAAAACCATGACATGTAGATAAGAATGTTACAAAACCACATGCCACTAAAGTCAGAAGTGAAACACGTGAAACGGAAAATCAGAATTGTACTTATTAAACAAAAACTACTAGTACAACTGAAAATAGGAACTTATCGCGCTCAAATTCAGTTCCCTTAATGGTGAAGGGCACTTAAGGAGGTCTGTCTACGACATGATGTGAAAGAGCGGCACGTAGAGAACAAACAACACTTTGTAATCACGATAGGATGAAAGAAGGAAAAAAGTGAAAAGAAAAAGAAAATCGGCAAAGATAAAGCACCAGCAGTTCTTTGTAACCAGTACGAAATTATGCATGCTTTACATCCGGAGTGACCAGGGCTTCAAGCGTGTGGAAGCCAACGTAGAACAATTAACATTACTTTATAGTGTCAGTACACTGAAAATTTCTAACTGCAACACTTAATTAAGAAAAATGACAGCCGATCTCTTTCCTATTGCTACTACAGTTTTATCGAAAAATCTAGCAAAGAACTAAGTATAGAATAAATATAGATAGACTATGCTTCAAGCCAGCAACAGTCGTATATACACAGGTCTGAAATCGGAGACCTGTCACCTTCCCTAAAAGCAAACAAAAGTCATCGGGACACAGACACGTAAGAGACGATAAATGTCACATTTTTAAATCATAAATACATAATCTTAACCTTCTATTTACTACCCACTTTAATTTTAATTACCCGCATAATGTAGCGGTGAACGCGATAGCCCCGGAAAGGGTAATAGCGCGTTCGTTCCCCACCGGAGACACCCGCGGTTCGAGGTTTTGCAACTATCTCAGCATCACCTTGCTTATATATATGTATATTTTTCCACTTCTTAATAAGATGCGTCTTCTCACGTGTGCTGTGCGGATCCCTGCACTTCTCACATTCGATTCGTTTCCTCGCATTCATCACGCGCGAAAGTCGTCAAACTTCAACATGAGTGTTTAGCTGCTGCTTGAAGAATTTCCTTTCATCAAGGATGACACTAAATGCTGGTTGAGTCAATTCCACCTGAGACAGGAGATAGCCAGGCTGGAGCGTTCTCAGTTGGATCGCAGAGAGTGAGTTTTTCCCAGATAAGTCCGGTACCAATTTCCGGTCCCCGGAGGGATGAAAGACTTAGTGGGACCGGAGCGAGATCCTACCAGCATCGTGCTCGTGATGACCAGCGTCACTATCACTGTGCTATCCACCCTTTAAATATATATATATATATATATATACAAATAAAAATGTATTAAGCATAACAAAAGTGCTCAACTAGAATCCGAAACTACAGAAGTCATGTTCGACAACTATTTTAAAAGAAAACGAAGAAGAATTAATCAACAAAGTGTTCATATGTGTTAGAACGACCACCATCATCATCATTTCTCTCCATGGAAACAGCCAGAAATAGAAAACCGTCACAGTTCATCATACAGAACCATCGAGGTGCATAAAAATATGTGAATGACGTCATAGTGAATCACCTAATGCTGAAAAAGCTAATGCTCCCCTAAGAGAAACCTGAATGACGACACTGTTCCAAGCTAACGCATTTAAATGCTACGACAAGACCTCTAACAGATACGTATACGGTCTCATGTGATTTACGCGCCGAATCACTAAGAACTATTCATAAATGTGAAAATATATAATATTTAATGGAATAATCATTTTATGTGTAATGTTATGTCGCCAATAACATAAAAATTAAGCAAATTTCTAGGAGTTCCTTAGAAAATTAACAATGTTCAACGCTTTCTTTCCAACATTTTACGAAGGAGATGCCATTATATGCAAAAGTGGTTAGCTTTAACGAAGTTATTCAACTGCACAACATTCTTTGAAAGAGAACTAGCTGAAAGACAGGCGAAAAAACGAAGGGCCCACATCGTGTAGTGGTGAACGCGTTACACCCCGGGAAAGGTAATAGTGCGTTCGTTCTCCAACACCTGCGATTCGGAGTTTTGCACATATCTCAGCATCATTGTGGTTGTATCACACATAACACC